TGAACATTGTTTAGGGATAGGGCAAAAAGTACCAAACGTAATCAGATTTTCATGCGACTCCACTGTTGACCTTACTTCTCAGCAGAAACTACTGCTATTTTCAGTTATTTTTTTAAAAAAATATATTTCTTTATTGATTTCAGAGAGGAAGGGAGAGGGAGAGATAGAAACATCAATGATGAGAGAATCATTGATTGGCTGCCTCCTGCACGTCCCCACTGGGGATTGAACCACAACCTGGGCATGTGCCCTTGGCCGGAATCGAACCCGGGACCTCCCAGTCCACAAGCCAACGCTCTATCCACTGAGCCAAACCGGCGAGGGCTATTTTCAGTTATTTTATATCAACCATGTAAAGTGCTAACACAAAGCAGTTTACTCACTTCTGCTGTTAGACTTTCCATGGAAGAAAAATGTGGAGAGAGACTAACTGTTTAAATAATACAAGACTCACTGTACATATTTACTAAAATAAATAAATTGGCCCTATTCTTTAAATTCTACTTTTTGTTCAGAGTAATAAGTATTTCATCTGCTTAGTGCATATTTTTCCTACTGATTACTGATCTTGCAATCTTTAAAAAAAATCCTGCTCCAAGATTTGAACCTGTGAAGAGGGGTTAGTGATAAAAGTTTACTCAAAAGAATTCCTACACTGACCAATATTGAAAATGACTTAACAAAATATATAGTCCTTAATATCCCTCTTTGAAAACAATATTGTTTCTAATTATATCCAGTTCCATGTTACCATGTTCAGCTGCCATCCTGTCCTGTGAAACCCTCCTTACATCCTATCACAAGGAGTAAACTAGAAAGATGATAATGACAATATCCATTACCAGTTTGAGTACTAACTCTAGATTGCCATTCTGTTTTATATATATGTCATTTTACCTTTCACTTTTTCATTTTATAACCGAACTGAGTAGGTAATATCCCCATATTTACATAAAACACCTGAGCTCAAAGTAGTATGGAATTAGTTTAAGGATAACTAGCTATCAAATGACAAAGCCAGAATTTTAACTCAGATTTTATTCAGAAGACTAGGACTCACACATCATCTTCTAACCAATTTGCAAGCTGACAGAACTCATGCTATCAGAGATTATTTTTTAAGCTAAACACCTAAGTAATCATGAATATTTCTCTACATGGAATTAGCATGAGTGTCTCACATAGCACAGCTTGGGCCTTTGTGGAAATTTCACCGTACCACCCAAGTACTATGACAGACTTCTATTAATATTGTGACAGTCCTGAAAAAAATCTATATTCACAATTAGTTGAGGGAAGTAATGTTCCTACAAATCTGTTTCATACTGAACCTGTGTTTGTGTCTTCAAGCGTGAGCTGTGCTTTCATAGTGTGGACTACAGTGCATATCCATGCCTCAAAACACAGGAGACAGGGACAAGGTCATGAAATTTTACACTGTGTAGCAGGTCAGGCTACTTAACGGCTAAACTACAATTCAGAATAACTGATTGGCAGGACTGTTCTATAAAGTGCTCTGCAGTCACTACGTAAAATATACATGACATAGAGTAAGCAACAGTAAAACTTCAGAAATATCATTAAAGGTTAGTAACAAGAGCCACATAATAAATTTTTCTCTAGGAAAAGCAGATAATTCAATGTGGTGCAACTGATACCTAAATTTAAGTATTAAACTCACTGTGGCTCTACTGGATTATTAAGAAAAAACTGCAAATATTTCAAATCTATAATCTAGTCCTAAAACTTCTTAAAGTTTTAGTGCTGCCTTGTAAAAATATTTACAGTACATTAGGATAACAACTTATCAGACAGCCACAGAAAGCTTCTCTATGGTGCCCTACAGATCCCTGGATCTTTGACACCTTCTTATAAGATCCTCTCTAATAGGAAGCTAGTATAATTATTAGGTGGATGTATTAACGTATCCCAATGGGAAAATGCAACTGTAGGTAACTGTTATAGAAATGCAAAACAGAATGCCTCTTAATCACTAATAAACATCTCTATCTAAAGCAAATTTATTGTTTAATAAAAGTTTACAGTATACCATTTAGTTGTTTCACGCCATGCACTTGCTTAAAGAGGTTGATTTTACCTTTAGCTAAAGCTGTGTATTTTCTAATCTGTTTAGGGCAGCTGTCAAGTAATCAGAGTAAGCAGTGTCATTTTAATAAGGACGTCTTTTAATAAAATATAATAAGTCACAAATACCTAATTTCTGCTCTTTACTGTAATTGCCACTCTTCACTGTAACTGCTACTTTAACAATCTTTTCCAAATGCTGCACAAAAGATGAACAAATCAAGGGTATTAGCATGTGTGTATATTTACAGCTTACTGCTGTCAAAGGCTGTGTAGTTCCACTCCCTACTCCAGCAGCTATATGAGATCTGTTTCTTTTGATAGAGGCCTCCTGGTTTAGGTTGTGAATGTATCTGAATGAATCTCCTTTTCATGGCTATGTGGCAAACACATACTAAAAAGTATACAACAGAAATGTTGGCAAAGTTCTAGCACAATATTACTCCTTTAGGAATATCACTGACACTTTTACTGTCACTGTGAAAGACTATACATTTTACTACTTTATTCTTTCTTTTTCAATAACCTATCTGCTAAATTAGTTATTAGTTCATAATTTCAAAAAACATTGCTTATATATAGTTCATGTAGCCTATTTTCTTAAATTTTAAAAGTTTATTATAACTATTAGTTTTACATATAATTCCACTTAAATAATGTACATAAAACAAAAGTTGCTGCAATATTAAAATAAATGAAGGATCCCAATAACAGAGGAAGCAAACTATTACAATTTTTATTTTTAAAAAGCACATTCATTATGATTATTTTGCTACAGTTCAATTTTAAGTTTATGATGTTTTTTCTAAAATTCCCTGAAAACTTCTTTATATGATAACCGTTTACCTTTTTTACTTGTTTTATTTAAAGTACACTATTTTTTTAACCAGTATATTTTTAAATTTTGGTAGTTTATTGCTATTTTAATATCAGAAGTCTGGTGCACAAACAGTACTGGGTTTATAAAAAGTTTGCCCATTTTTGAAATGCTAAGCTTTCCCAATTCAAACTAACTTACTGTGAAAAGAAAACCATGACAACTGTTTGTACCTCCTGCTTTATTATCACATCCGGCCTGGTCACTCTTAGAAATTCAATCTATTATGGTTGCTAGGAGTCTGTTGCTGTGCAACCTAGAAGGGTATGCTGTGCTTTCAGGCTAAGGAGTGCTAATAAACCTGTAGGCTTCCTTCTATGGGTCTGACCAGTGTGTTTAAAGGGCTTAATACTTTTCAAGAGTGATTGGAGACACATCCTATTAAAAACAAGTCACACTGAGAGATTTCTAACAAAGGGACAAAATGCTAAACATACACAAATATTCAAAATGTATCCTCAGAATCCCTAATTTGGTAAAACAAACAAAGAACAGATTATGATCTATATTTCAATTATACCACCTACCATTCCCAAGTTTTTATTTCCATATTGACCTATAAAAGGTTATAATGGATATAAATGAACTCAGAATGTTTTAGGGGAAGAAAGCAGTTAGTAACTTCAACTTTATAAACTTATATAAATTCCAAAAATAGAAAAATAAATTTAACCTAGGAATCTAGGAGTCATGAATTTTGCAGAACTAAAAGGCATCCCCCCCCCCCATACACACACACACACACACACACACACACACACCCTTGAAAATCTGAAATTCTAAATTTCATTTTATTATTAAAAAGATGACCTTTTTCATCCTTTATATTAATTCTAAAATATATTCTATCCTATCATATGCATATTCTCCATAACTTTAAAAATTAACACTCAATAAGTTGCTCACAAAACTTCACTACAACTAGATAGCACTGAACGTAAATAAAAAGAGAAAGATAGTAGAGGCTATCAATAAAATGCTGATAAACAAATTGTGTGAAATAGAACTTTAAAAGTTGGCAGAGGATACGAGAGGACCTCTACATTCCTTAAAAAAAGAAATTATATTGACTTTTATTTCTTTATGTATGGTTAAGTCTTTCTCATAAAGTATTTGAAGACAAAGATGATGAAATTGGTCTACCATAAAATACCAAAGGTCATGTAGATAAATAAAAATATTTGATTTTACAATAATCATCAGTCTTTTTTATTTTTACTATATGAATTTATCTGAGCCAAACTGAGGACATATGCCAGGGAGCAAGATTTCAAATGCTTCTCAATAATCACTTTATGAAACTTTATCCATATTTTCCAAGGATGTTTTGATACACTAATTCTTGCTATGTATTTTACTAATACTGCCTGCAGCTTTAGAAAGTTAAAAATAAGTTTTTGTAAATGCCAGGCAAGATTTTTTCTTTATTCATGGAAACAGTTAGCCCTTCTATCTCTGAGCTGGTTATACTTTCTAAAATAACCTGTCAACTACACTACCTCTTTCTTTTTTAAAGAGTCACGTATATCTGTCCTTCAATGGTTGTTTTATTTTTTCTTCTCATTGCACACTATGGGAAACAGAATAAAGGAAATGAACTATTTCTTTAAAAGTACCAAAAAACAACAAACAGAAGAATGAAGAATAACTATCCAAAAAAGGCAAAAAATCCAATAATAAAGGAACAGGCTGGGAGGCGCAAAGGAACCATCTGACCAAAGACAGACTGAGGCAGGAAGAGAACGGGTCGGCTAAGAAGGTTGAAAACTCAGACAGCCTATGCCAAGCAATAACAAGCAGAACAGACCAGAGCAAATGGGAGAAAAAGGGGCAGAAAGGATGACAAACAGAGACAAGAATGTGTTAGAGAATAACTGAAAGAAAATTCGCAGAAGGAAACATGATTCATTTTACAAATGAGGGGGAAAACAAATATGAGATTTTTATATTCAATACTTATATTTTGAATCATCCTTATTTCTTAAGAAGGCATACAACAATTCAGAAAATGTCTTAAAAGATGTAGTGATATACGTACCATTTATGATGTAAAACCAAGTAAGCAGTAACTTGAAGACTCAATTTGACAATGAAATAATTTGATTACTTTCCAATTCTCATCTAGGATTAAGGAAAATTTAACTTAAGTCTATAAGTACAGGATGTAATATATGAAAATATCTTTTAAAGCAATGAAAACTGATTTTTCCCAAACAAGAACAAAACATTAAGACACACACTACACACTACACACTACACACACACACACACACACACACACACACACACAGTAGTCAAAAAAGTTATATAAAGTCAGATTCTAAATATACCATTCACAGAAGTGTGTTACGCAAATCTGTTAACTTTTAAAGCAGTTATTTAATAGTTGGTCAATTACTAGTCAAGTGTAGTAAATAATGCTGGAAGACTCTGCTCTGAAAGTTCTAAACTGGCTACATTAATATTTAGTCTCCTGTCAGGCACTATTAATTAAAGGCAATGGGGCAAAAATAAGGAATAAGACTTTTTAATGGAGATGGAATCCATAGTGGAAGTGTTGAGGGAAAGAGCCTTCTGGTTAGGAAGCTGCAACAATTATACAGTGTGGCATACTGAGAATAACATATTCATCCATGGAATTAAGTCTCTTTTATTGCACATTCCAGTTTTCTTGGATTTGCAACATCCTATCATATTTGATTCACTTCCAAATACCGAATTTCAAATTAAAAAAATCAAATTTCCTCAATAAATGCTGAACAGAAATTGAATTGTTTTATTTTTAATTTCATAAAATTTTTATCAAGAATTGTAGGTTCTTTGATAATTCACATTATAAGGGTTGGTAACAAATGAAGGTTAGAATTCTGTTTTAGTAGTCCCATCTTACTAATTATAAAGAGAAATCATTATGGGAGCCATTAATATAACATAATTTCTCCTTTCTGCTGAAAGAATATCTGCCCAAATACTTTTCAAATTATTTCTATAATTTGTTTAGCTACAGTCAAAAGGATATTGAATGTACAAAGAAAGAGGTGTGTGTGTGTTTTCAGTATTAGACTTTATATAATATAAACAACTGATTAGAAGAGTAATATCAATTAAAAACATATTTAAAAATGTCTTAAAACCCATTTTCACTTTTTAAGTACTACCACTCACTTTTATATATTTAAAAACTTGAAAAAAGGTATTGGATCATTTGATTTTTTAAAATGTATAACAGAAGATACTGGAAAAGGCATCTTCAAGTGTTTTCTATGAATATAAGGGACAATTTCACTGTATCTCATTATAAATGCCAATAACCTCAAAGATGTATATTTCACTTTTTTGTGAAAGCAAATACATAAAAAATCTTTAGAAAACATAAAAGAAATAAACCATATTTGTACAGAGGTAAATGTTACTTTCTCGGAGTGCACTTAGAAAAATGTCTTTGTGGAATCTGTATTTAATTTAGAAGATTCTATTTAATTCCAACTCAAAATCTGAGACTAGAAATATTGAAGTTCACAATTCAGATTTTTAAATGATATCTGTCTGGAAACTAACCTTTATTCTTTTTAAGATTTTTTTTTTCATCCATCCCTCCATCCACAGAGGAGAAGACAAAACATGGCAAAGAGGAGCAAGAGTGGCATCTGAGTGCTGAGCCTGACTCAGCTGTTGTCTCTCTTTCCAGAGGTAAAAAGTGAGGGGAGTAACAAGGGGTAGGTGGGGAGATAAGGGGTATAGCTGAAACAAAATTAACCATGAGTTGTTAACTATTAAAGAAGAGTGATGGATACATGGGAATTCATTTCATTGTTTCATCATACTGTTCTATTTTTACTTTAAAAAGTTAGGGGGAAAAAGTAGAGTAGATTTGCTCTCCTTAAGTCTTTTATAGCTCAAACATTTTCTCATAAACACAGTGGTGGTACAAACAAGTGGTGATACTAAATTAAATTAGACTTCTGTCATTTTTAATTTATTTATATTTTTAACTGGCAGAAATACTATTTTCTCAAGTTCAATAAACTCTAGCCTACAGGTTGTTAAAATGTGGGCACAACTGACTCACTTCAGACACAAATACCTGGGCACATTTGCAAATATAATCCTTTAACCAGCCTGTAATGATGGAAACCAGGATTAGAACTAAATCCTTCTTATACATAATTATATAAGTTCAGAGAAAGGGAGGGTTTTTTTTGTTTAAGGTTCCACAACAATTTCTACTTCCTTAAATATGTTAAAAACACACATTATATAATATATTTTTACCATTTTTTGAAGTATTAAAATATACTACAATAGCCTCAAATACTGCAAAACTGTATATTTCATAATGGATGACAGACACATATGCTTAATATTTGACACTGAACTGAAATTAGAAAATATGATTTTGACATTAGTACACTGAAAACCTCATTCTAAAAATATCAGCATGACAATCTATTTGTCAAAATAACAGAATTCAAGACAATCTGCCTCCATTAGTAACTTTTACTTATCTAAATAACCTCTCATTTTTGTCATTTTGCATACACAAAATTTTAAATTCAGTTCATAAATCCATGATTACAGATGACTAGACAATGACAGATAACTATGCTACATAAACAATAACAGTCTAGTTTCACATTTTCTAAGACACTGCAGAGCATTTTGATCATAGAAGCCATCATATACAGATACTTTCTCTAGTTTAAACTGGCCATATGAGCAAACTGAGGGTATAACCACTCAAATTACCAGTCAGCTCATTCTAATTTCAATTTGCCTATATTAATAGTGATTTTACTTTGAATAGTTCACATTGCAATTTTTTAGGATCTATTCTTGTGATAGTTCCAGATGTTTCAGCACAACCCCCAACTTAGAAATAAGTAGGGTGGACTGAAAACCTTAACCTTTCCTACCATCTCCAAAGAAAAACTAAAAGTAGGTTTTGAGTCTCTTAATCTGCTTTTTTCCTTATAGAAAAACCATAGTGAGTGTTGTTGTTTTTTCATCAATATACACCTCAAAATGATATAAAATGAAAAGGCTGTACATTCAGAGAAAGGAGTACAAGAATGACAGAAGGCAACAAAGAGTCAGGGGGAAAAAATGTACTGTAAGGACAGATGTAAACAATTAGGACTCTTTAGTATAAAAGGAAGGCTAGCATCGACCAAGGTATCATCTGAGGCCTGGTGCATGAATTTGTGCACCAGTGGGGTCCCTCGGCCTGGCCTGCGGGATTGGGCTAAAACCAGCTCTCTGACAATCCCCAAGGGATCCCAGATTACAAGAGGGTGCAGGCCAAGCCAAGGGACCCCACTGGTGCATGATTGGGGCCGGCGGAGACGCAGGAGGTTGGCCAGCCGGAGAGGGACTGCGGGAGGGCTCCAGGGCGTGTCCGGCCCATCTCACTCAGTCCTGATCGGCCAGACCTCAGCAGCCGGTCGGAGCATTTGCCCCCTGGTGGTCAGTGCACATCATAGTGACTGGTCGACTGTCTGCCCCCTGGTGGTCAGTGCATGTCATAGCGAGCAGTTGAGCAGCCTTAGCATATCATTAGCATATTACGCTTTGATTGGTTGAACAGCTGACTGGACGACTGGACACTTAGCATATTAGGCTTTTATTATATAGGATAAAGTTACAATGGAAGAAATACACAACTTACATCTGTCACCTCTGTTCAAATGTCACCTCCGTAAAATCTTCCTAATCATCATACTTAACGTTGCAACCTCTCCACCCTCATCACCTATCCTCTCTAGTCAACTTTTTTTTTTATCCTCACCCAAGGAGTGAGGATATTTTTCCCCATTTTTAGAAAGAGTGGAAAGGAGGAAGGAAGGAGTAGAGAGAAAGAGAGACAGAGAAATAAAGAAAGAAATAGGAACATCAATGTGACAAACACACATGGGTTGGTTGCCTTCCATGCACCCCAACTGGGGGTGGGGTTTGTACATGCAACCCACATACTTGCCCTTGAGCAGGAACTGAACCCATGACCCTCTGGTTCACAGACCAATGGTCTGCAGTGGTTCTCAACCTTCCTAATGCCGCGACCCTTTAATACAGTTCCTCACGTTGTGGTGACCCCCAACCATAAAATTATTTTCGTTGCTACTTCACAACTGTAATTTTGCTACTGTTATGAATCGTAATGTAAATATCTGATATGCAAGATGTATTTTCATTGTTCACAACCCACAGGTTGAGAACCGCTGCTAGACACTGAGCCATGCTGGCCAGGGCTCTAGATCCCTCTTTTTAAAAAATTTTCTCCATATCATTTACAACTATTATAATACTCATTTATCTTCTCTCTCCATCATCCTCAATTGTTTGAATATAAGATTCTTAAGGGCAGAGATCTGATAAGTTTTCTTCAGTGCTCTATTCTCCATAGAATTTCATTGCTTGGCCCATACTGTATGTGTCAATATTTGATCAATAAATGAATAGATGAATAAAAAAGTGAAAATGAGTGTGTACACCCAAACTGACTCTAGAAACTGACTCAGGAAAGAGGTTAAGATGACTTCACAACTGGCAGTAAACTTACCAAACTAATCACCTCAAGAGATGGTACAGAATAAAAATACCCTGTTCATAAATGGACAGATTTATGAAAGCCAGATCCATATTAAAAATAGTTTTTTAAGGAGAAAGTCTCTGTAGTAGGCATCAAAGCAGATAACCCTACCTCTCCACAATACAACCCTTAATGGATATCACAAATGCAACGACAGATCTGACTACTGTAATAATTCCATTCTAATACCACCAGTTGCCTTGGTAGAAGCTTGGAACTCAGGTCCTGATTCTGTACTTTTGACATCCCAATAGGACAGTAAAGTTAGGTAGCAAAAGGTGAAACTCAGGAAGTCTGGAGTATTCAAAATAGCCTCCCGCCAAAAAGCATAGTTATCATAATGCCTCCCAGGTCTCTCCCCTACTAAGCAGAATTAGGAATACCCACACCCTGCCACAAGCAGAAAACAGGAAGGAGATAATAGATCCTAAAAGGCACTCCCCAACTTCTGAAACTACTAGTCTTAACAGACACTAAAAAAAATCCCAGGCAAGTTTAGAATTTCACACATATACATATACATACATATATATATACGAAATTCATATATACATAGAGTTAGATAACAAAATCATTTGAAAAGATAAATGGAAATGAGACCTTGATCTAGTGTCTACTAGCTGATGCCTTTTTAAAGAAATATCCAACATTCATGAATTCATGCCATTAAATCCATTTTAAAAAACAGGAAGTAAATAAACCCATTTGGACTAATAGAACTGCATTGCTCTAAAGGTCAGTATAAAATCAGGACTAGACAAAATTATAAAATGGTTAAATGTGTATTTTATAATTTGATTAGAGATAAACAAGCTGAGGCTTCATAATTAGTCACTGATTGCTTCTACTAGAAAAGGACACTGGGTTTTGTGCTGAGTTCCAAAACCTCAGGAAGCTTACAAAAAAATTTAGAAAGATCAAACATTTACAAACAAATATCTAAATCACATTTTCCAATTAGTATCAGGGTTAATAAAAATTTCATTAGAAGTGAACTTATTCAAGTTAAGAACCACTCTATTTAACTTTAGCAAAGATGAATTCAAGCAGTGTGGCCCTAGCCAGATAACTCAGTTTGAGCACTGTTCAGATATGCCAACGTTGAGGGTTCAATCCCCAGTCAAGGCACATACAAGAATCAACCAGTGAGCCCTGCTGGTGTGGATCAGTTGCACTGAGAGGTCACTGGTTTGATTCTGGAACAGGACAATAATGGAAACTGCCATTTACATGTTATAGCGCTGCTGTTTGCCTTTGTCATCTAATGTAATCTCTGAAACCATCTTTCAAGGTAGATTTTAGTAACCATAACCATATCTCACAGAGTTTAAGTAATCTGCCTAAAGTTAAACTACTAATCAGTAGCAGAACTAGAATTCAAACCCAGAGCTGTTCATTCCAAAGTTATTGCTCTTAAACAGTGATTTTCAACCAGTATGACACAAGAATTTTAAAAACATTCAATACCTGACTATTTAGTCAGGGGTACTACTCACCTCTTTTCCCTTAAATTGTCAAATAATAAAATGACAATAGCCAACACAATGGCCGTCCAGTGTGAATCAAAATTAGACCTATATTTTTGTCAGATCAGCAAAAACAAAATGACAAGTTCAGTTGTCATATATTTTTTGCTGTGCCACAGAATTTTATTTTTAATTTATCAGAGAGAGAAAGAGGAAAAGAAAGGAAGAGAGATAGAAACATTTATGAAAGAGAATTATCCATCTGCTGCCTTCTGTGCGCCCCCTACTGGGATTGAGCCTGACACCAGGCATGTGCCTGGACCTAGAATCAAATCTGTTAACTACCTGGTGCATGAGATGATGCTCAACCACTGAGCCACACCAGCCAGGCCAGAATTTTAGTCATTATTGTTTATGTGTGCCATGAGATGAAAAAGGTTGAAAATCGCTGCTCTTAACCAATTGCCTAACACTATAAGCCAGGCTGGCAAAAAAAAAAAGTTACAGAGCAGAGTGGTGAAATATATATTTCAAAATGGACAGTAGTTTCTAAGCTCCCTAAGCGCACAGCACAATGGAAGTTTTGTGGCATTTGTAAATATTTCTTAAATGATTCTGATGAGTAGACAGTGAAGATTCCTGAAAGATTCTCACCCAAAGAAACATAAAACTTTGGGCTATTTGAAAAC